CAGTACTCTGTCAGTACCCTGTCAGTACTGCAGTAACCAGTACCCTGTCAGTACTCTGTCAGTACCATGTCAGTACTGCAGTAGGCAGTACCCTGTCAGTACCCTGTCAGTACTGCAGTAACCAGTACTGCAGTAACCAGTACCCTGTCAGTACCCTGTCAGTACCCTGTCAGTACTGCAGTAACCAGTACTGCAGTAACCAGTACCCTGTCAGTACTCTGTCAGTACCCTGTCAGTACTGCAGTAACTCCTGTTCCAGATATACCTTGATGAGAGGAGCAGCAGCGGTTACAGCTGCAGCTGCAGCAGCTGCTGCGGCGTTGGTGGCGTCTCCAGGGCAACCAGAGGACGGCCCCACCTGCGTCTGGACATCCGTCACACCCAGTGCATCCTGGGAGCTGGGCGTGGGACCTGAAGCATCCTGAGAGCTGGTCCGGAGCGGCCCCGGGTCCAACAGCTGCACTCTGACCTCCCTCCTGTGGGGGGCGCTGTGAGAGCTGAGCAGCAGAGAGAACATGACAGCAGGTGAACACGCGGGCAGTGAAGGCGCCGCACGAGGCGTTCAGGTGCTCCGTGTTAAAGTAGCAGCAGCTCAGTGACGCTCTGTGAAGCTTCAGGATCAATAAACAAAGTTAAACGATGGATCAGACCGCTCTCTATTAGAGAAAAGTCTTTTCCCTAAATGTCAGACAGGAAGCTGTTCTCACCGTTGTTTCAGAGCGGCGAGCACGACTCCTCGACCTCCTGCAGCAAAGCGTGACGTCAGAAGGTCGTGACCTGAGGGCGATGATGTAAGCAGAGGGGGGGTCAGACTTTAGTTTCAGAAAATGATTTAACGTCAGTTTCTAAAACTAATCAAGTCAATACGAATCAGTAACAACCACATATTTAATCTGAGTGATGTCACTGGCCCGCCGCTGTGTCTGTCCGACAGTGACGGATTATTGAGGGATTATTGAGCTCTCACCAGGCTGCCGGTCGCTCGGTGCTCCAGCCGAGAGCTTCCTGTCTGGGCTCCACTCGGCTGCAGGAGGCTGCTGGAGGAGAAAACAGAAAGAGTCAAACCCTCAGGACTACCTTTATTCTGCCGCTGCTCAACGTCATCAAACTGCGTGTGATGCTGCAGGTCAGGTGCCACCGAGTCCACACGTCAAGGTAAAGAAGAAGAAGACTCACTCTTCCTGCGGGCGCTCTGTTCTCTTTGGTCGGTCCAGCAGGTCCAGCAGGTCCAGCAGGTCCAGCAGGTCCCGGGTTCTTCAGTGTCCGTGTGTCTGCAAACATTTTACCATTTGTTTAAGTCCACTTCAAAGAAATATCCAAGGGACACAAATATTAAAAGGTGCAGTCAAATAAAACCCAGCGGGACTGATGGAGCAGCAGCTCATACATATAAATATCTAAATACTGTTATGGGCTTAGATATTTGTAGATACTCGTGCTGACATACACATAAATATAGAATATTCAGTTTGAGTCACCACACCTGTATCTCAGGTCACCTGTGGCTCAGGTCACCTGTGGTTCAGGTCACCTGTATCTCAGGTCACCTGTATCTCAGGTCACCTGTAACTCAGGTCACCTGTAACTCAGGTCACCTGTAACTCAGGTCACCTGTGGCTCAGGTCACCTGTAACTCAGGTCACCTGTGGCTCAGGTCACCTGTAACTCAGGTCACCTGTAACTCAGGTCACCTGTAACTCAGGTCACCTGTGGCTCAGGTCACCTGTAACTCAGGTCACCTGTATCTCAGGTCACCTGTAACTCAGGTCACCTGTAGCTCAGGTCACCTGTGGCTCAGGTCACCTGTAACTCAGGTCACCTGTAACTCAGGTCACCTGTATCTCAGGTCACCTGTAACTCAGGTCACCTGTAACTCAGGTCACCTGTGGCTCAGGTCACCTGTGGCTCAGGTCACCTGTAACTCAGGTCACCTGTAACTCAGGTCACCTGTAACTCAGGTCACCTGTGGCTCAGGTCACCTGTAACTCAGGTCACCTGTAACTCAGGTCACCTGTATCTCAGGTCACCTGTAACTCAGGTCACCTGTAACTCAGGTCACCTGTAACTCAGGTCACCTGTGGCTCAGGTCACCTGTAACTCAGGTCACCTGTAACTCAGGTCACCTGTAACTCAGGTCACCTGTGGCTCAGGTCACCTGTAACTCAGGTCACCTGTGGCTCAGGTCACCTGTGGCTCAGGTCACCTGTAACTCAGGTCACCTGTGGCTCAGGTCACCTGTGGCTCAGGTCACCTGTATCTCAGGTCACCTGTGGCTCAGGTCACCTGTATCTCAGGTCACCTGTGGCTCAGGTCACCTGTGGCTCAGGTCACCTGTGGCTCAGGTCACCTGTAGCTCAGGTCACCTGTGGCTCAGGTCACCTGTATCTCAGGTCACCTGAGGCTCAGGTCACCTGAAGCTCAGGTCACCTGAAGCTCAGGTCACCTGTGGCTCAGGTCACCTGTAACTCAGGTCACCTGTGGCTCAGGTCACCTGTAACTCAGGTCACCTGTGGCTCAGGTCACCTGTGGCTCAGGTCACCTGTAACTCAGGTCACCTGTGGCTCAGGTCACCTGTGGCTCAGGTCACCTGTGGCTCAGGTCACCTGTGGCTCAGGTCACCTGTATCTCAGGTCACCTGTAACTCAGGTCACCTGTGGCTCAGGTCACCTGTGGCTCAGGTCACCTGTATCTCAGGTCACCTGTGGCTCAGGTCACCTGTATCTCAGGTCACCTGTAACTCAGGTCACCTGTGGCTCAGGTCACCTGTGGCTCAGGTCACCTGTGGCTCAGGTCACCTGTATCTCAGGTCACCTGTAACTCAGGTCACCTGTGGCTCAGGTCACCTGTGGCTCAGGTCACCTGTATCTCAGGTCACCTGTGGCTCAGGTCACCTGTAACTCAGGTCACCTGTGGCTCGGGTCACCTGTAGCTCAGGTCACCTGTGGCTCAGGTCACCTGTAGCTCAGGTCACCTGTAGTTCAGGTCACCTGTGGCTCAGGTCACCTGTAGCTCAGGTCACCTGTGGCTCAGGTCACCTGTGGCTCAGGTCACCTGTATCTCAGGTCACGTGTAGCTCAGGTCACGTGTAGCTCAGGTCACCTGTATCTCAGGTCACCTGTGGCTCAGGTCACCTGTGGCTCAGGTCACCTGTGGCTCAGGTCACCTGTGGCTCAGGTCACCTGTGGCTCAGGTCACCTGTGGCTCAGTCTCAGGTCACCTGTAGCTCAGGTCACCTGTAGCTCAGTCTCAGGTCACCTGTAGCTCAGTCTCAGGTCACCTGTGGCTCAGGTCACCTGTAGCTCAGGTCACCTGTAGCTCAGGTCACCTGTAGCTCAGTCTCAGGTCACCTGTAGCTCAGGTCACCTGTAGCTCAGTCTCAGGTCACCTGTAGCTCAGTCTCAGGTCACCTGTAGCTCAGGTCACCTGTAGCTCAGTCTCAGGTCACCTGTAGCTCAGGTCACCTGTAGCTCAGTCTCAGGTCACCTGTAGCTCAGGTCACCTGTAGCTCAGTCTCAGGTCACCTGTAGCTCAGGTCACCTGTAGCTCAGGTCACCTGTAGCTCAGGTCACCTGTGGCTCAGGTCACCTGTGGCTCAGGTCACCTGTGGCTCAGGTCACCTGTATCTCAGGTCACCTGTGGCTCAGGTCACCTGTAGCTCAGGTCACCTGTGGCTCAGGTCACCTGTGGCTCAGGTCACCTGTAGCTCAGGTCACCTGTAGCTCAGGTCACCTGTGGCTCAGGTCACCTGTAGCTCAGGTCACCTGTGGCTCAGGTCACCTGTATCTCAGGTCACCTGTGGCTCAGGTCACCTGTGGCTCAGGTCACCTGTAGCTCAGGTCACCTGTAGCTCAGGTCACCTGTGGCTCAGGTCACCTGTGGCTCAGGTCACCTGTAGCTCAGGTCACCTGTGGCTCAGGTCACCTGTGGCTCAGGTCACCTACCGGAGCTCTTACCGGGCTCAGGGCGCGCTGCTGCCCGCAGACGGAGCCCCTTGTCCGGCTTGTGTCGGGGCTTCGGCTGTTGCGTCTCTGTCCCGGAGCTCTGCGGCCTCTGTTCGGCCACAGGACGCTGGTTCGGAGGTTCCGGCAGCTTCTGGACGGTTATCTGGACCGATCCGGGTCCTGGTCCGGCTTCAGGTCTCCGACCCGAAAGGAGAGCCCGAGTGGAGCGGATTAAAACGTCCCCGGTGTCCGAGCTGCAGGAGGACTGATCCGGACTGGGTTCAGCGGATGAACCCGGCGGCCTGTCGGACCCGGATCCCGGCTGAGGCCGCATTCTGGCGGTTCTGTTGATCCGGTTCTGATAAAGTCCTTTTATTGACTGTTAGCTAGCTGTTAGCCGCGTGCTAAGCTCAGCTGGTTTAAACTTCCCGCTCCTGCTTCATCCGGGTCCTCGGACGGACCGTTCAACCCTCAGAGTCCCTGAAGAAACTGAAGTTCACCGAGTTTAAAACCGGATCAGGACAGAAGCCAGACCCGAACTCACAGGGACACAAACTAACAGCGTTAAACACACAAACAGCAACTGTTGCTGACAACAAAACTACACTTCCGGCTTCCGCCTCCGAGCGGAGATGCTAAAGACGGCAGGAGGTCTCACTCCGACCCGGAACTCAGAGCGAGGTTCAGAGAAACTACATTTACTGAATCACCTACACAAGATATGATGTTTAGTTATAAATTACACTCCAACAGTTTAAACAGCTGAACTACAGTCATTTCTTTGGCAACAACTTTGATGGTTTTAGAGATTTTTCTCCTCTGAATGATTTTAATATCTGTGATGTTTATTAGTAACGTTGATCTTTGGACTGCTGGTTCTGAAGGAGACTCTTTGGGCTCTGCAGAATCTGTACAAACCACTGATCCAGGACCATCAGCTGCAGTCTGAGTTCAGAATGAGCAACATCCTGCTGCACTTTTGTTTTTTTTCAGCCTTTATTTGAGATTGCAATGTTTACAAAAGTATAAAAATATTTGCAACATAGCGGACATCAGAAGACCATTCCGGTTCAATAACTGATCTACCAACACAACATTCCATGAAGAGAGATGTGTTTATATAAAATGTCCGCCTGACAGACATTTTAACAGGTCAGAACAACCTCATGCCACCAGCTTTGATAACACATGAAGAAGTCAAACATTCCTAATGGAGGTTTCTATATAATCGTTTCAGCCAATTTAATTTAAAGGTATAAAAATCCCGAAAGTTAAACGTCTCCTGCAAGAAAAATCTGTAATACACATCACTTTACTGCTTTAATACTCACATAGGATACTTTTACTTAAGTAACACTGTCAATGTGGTACTTTTACTTGTAACAGAGTACTTTTACAGTGTGGTATTAGTACTTTTACTAAAGTAAAGGGTCTGAATACTTCGTCCACCACTGGTGAAACTAAGAAAGGAGGAACACACACGAGGTTCAAGGTTTGAATCAGTTTACGTTAAACTGTATTTGGGTTTTAAGACACCAACAGTATGAAGACTGTTTCAAGTACAATTTAAAATGGTTGCACAGCTGCTCCCACTGGACAACTAACAGAGGTCTCAGTTAATCAAAATATCACTCAGACTACGAACGACGAAGCTGGCTGCCCTGCTGATGCAGCAGCGGACAGGAAGTTCTTCTGAATTCACAAACAGGCGAACTGGAGTCGAGACTTCTGGAAGAACAGGAGCATCAAGTCAGGGCTGCATTTTCACATGGCACAGGTGTGGATGCTGGAACAGTCCACACTTTTCAATATTATGAGAAATGATATATTTGAAGAGTTTTGGAAAGTTTCTATTGAGAAAAGATGCAGGAAGCTGAACAAGGCTGGGATGAAAGGTGGAGAAGTCAAAGTACATAATATCTGCTAATAAGAAAACTGAATGTGGGGTTTCTTTTTGGATGAACAAGCAACTGACTGTTCAACGTTTGGTTTTGGCTGTTTGAGTTGTATTTTGTGTGTTTTTCTAGCTGCCTCTGTTTCTCTCGGTCCTTACTGATTTATGTCTTTGATCTTTAGCTCTTAGTCCTGCGTTTCAGTCCTGTGCCGTTAGTTTTAGTTTTTACTTCTAGTTCCTTGTCTGGATTATTTGAGTTTAGTCTGCTCTGCGTCTGTTAGGATCCCTGAGGTATAGTTGGTCGTGTTTGTCTGTTTACGTGGGGTTCTGTTATTGTCTGAAGTTACTTTCTTGTCTGCTATTTTGAAACTGTCTGTTCCCCCAGGTGTCCCTCTGCCTGCCTCGTTACGTTGACCCCAGTCTCCCGTGTAGCTCCCGCCCCGCTCGTTACCCCCGGGTACAAATGTTTCTGTAGATTGGCTGTGCGGTCACTGTTCGTGTTCCCCGGTCTCTTCAGTGTGTCGTCTTACTATTTCCAGCTCGTCTTCCTGACAGTCTCTTGGTGTTTTGGATTTTTGTTTCGTTACTCATTTGGATTTTTCTGGACTCAGTCTGTAAGTGTGCTCGCGTTTTGTTTGTAAAATAAAGCTCTTTTTAACTTTACCTCCAACCTGCTCGACCCACACTGCCGTCACAGAGAGGGTGAAAGAGTTGTGCGCTTCGATGAGCAGATAAATCATGTAGACAACTAATGATCTGGTTGGTTGTTATGTGTCAGCAGCTGAAACACATTTAAAAAGGTTGGAAGTGATGCAGGCTGAGGCCCTGACACCGTGTCGTGGGGCCCTTCATCCAACTCCAGTCCCGGCTTCACTGGTAGAGACACCATATCAGTTCGACGGGAGAAACCGGCGTCAGGCAAAAGGAGGAAGGAACGTTTGATGTTTAACATCAGTAAAAAGGAGGAGCTGGGACTGAGGGAGGCGGGGGGCCCGCAGGGTACTGGTCAGTCGTACCTCCGTGGATGCTGCCCATGCCAGAATGTGATGGCCAACATAAAACATCATGAACGCGCTGACTGAAGTCCCCGAGGGTTTATCTTCAGATTTACACAGAAGGATCCACAAACTGGGAAGTCGGGTTTTGCTTTTTATATCCCACAATATGAAACTGTGAAGCTCAAGCGACCGTCTGGGGGTGCCGGTGTGTCTACATGTTATATGGCAAGTTCAACCAATGAGAGCAGTATTATGCTCAGATCCAGCCTCAGTGTGAGAAACTGAGAGGAAGTCACCGGGAAGCTCGGCCGGAAAAGACTCGAGCAGGCTGGAGGGTCGGTGGGATTTCTGTGGGAACGAGGTGGCAGACAGGGCAGAGTTGTGAATTATTTTGGAGCATTATAGCCTAAATTGTTCTCATTAATTACTAGAGCAATGGTGGTCTACATTTAAAGTGTTATTTTATAGTGTAAAGTTAGATCACAGTGTGAAAACTCTACAGCTCTGAGTGTTTGTGCTCCTTCCTGCCCAGGCTCATGTGTGAGCAGGCAAAGTAAGATAGCATGAAAAACACCTGCAAAGGAAAATATAGAAGCAGATTTTGTGAAAATTGTATTACAAAACATACATCAATATAGTCCATCACAGTGAGAATGTCCTGTTTCTAGCACAGAGCACAAACAACACCAGTTTATTCCATAAAAGTCAGGTTATGGAAGAAATGGCTTGATCAAGCAGAGTTCATGCAGAGGACACAGAGAGGAGGAGCAGCCAGTCAGATCCAGGTGCAGCAGGAAAGAGAGCCAAGAGATGATGTAAAGCCAAGAAACAGAGCTATAAAAGGAGGTGAAAGTCAGTCGTTACATGGTTTTCATGTGGACTCGGGTCTCTGTTCTGCACCGATCTCTGACTCACTCCGGTGGAACTTTTCTATTCTAATTGGTGTCTGTTTTTGTTGATAATAAAAATGTTGGTAAAAGTTCAAGCTTTCTGGCCCCAAGTCTTGAATTGTTCCACGACATTAGCAGCTGGACCGGCTCTGAAAGGAGACCCTGATCCAGCAGTTTGGGGTTTCTGAATGTCTGAATGGGAAAATGACACGAGGGGTCGTCACTACCACACGGTACAGAATAAGCTAATAAGAGCAGGGTTACTGTGGACCTGCATGGGACACAGTCCTCTGAGAAGGGGGACGCCTGGAAATGATACGGAGAGGCAGCAAGATGCCGCATCTAGTCTGCCGGAAAGCCAGAAGAAGAAAACAGGAACTTCCGTCGCTCCGCACGTGTAGCACTCCGGAAGGTTTTTGGCAGCGCACCGGTCGGATTGTGGTTTCCGGTGTGACTTTTTCGTCTCGTGTGTCTCGACGTGTTTTTTGATGCTGAATCAATAATCGATTAATAATCACGTCATCGCCGCCTGACGTCACTCTCCTGCTGAAACGTGAATTGAAATAAAGTTTGAATGTGCGGCGGAGTTTCTCTTTGATCTCGCGACCTTCAGCGGCTCAGGTGTCGTCAGCAGGTGAGGGGGGCACGTGCTCCGGCTGCCCGGCAGGTGTGTGTGCAGGTGGGACTGCGAGTCCAGAACATTTAGGGAGGAACGTCTGAACAAAACTGAGGAAATCGGAAAGGTGAAGCTAATGCTAACTAGCGGAACCGCCTGCGCCAGACTCCAGCCATTAAACAGCCGTTTGTGGCGGGTCGGCGCTGCGCGTCCGGAACCAAAGAGTTCACTAGAAAACTCAGAACCTTCTGGATAAAAGTTAAAGAGATTAAGTTTGAGAGGATTTTAATGTGGCTGAGCAGAACTCTGTGTTCAGGCAGAAGGTGTGACTGTGAATGAGAACGTGAATATTAAAGTGTGTCAGTTTTGAAGGGAGTTTGGTGCGGGAGCTGACGTGTGCTGTTTGCTCCTCAGAGTCTGGATCATGGCAGTCCAGGTGACCGAGTCCGACCAGATCAAACAGGTGGGACATGTTCATCATTTATTCAGGCATACTAAACACACCGGAAGTCATCATGTTTCTCTGGTTTGAAAACGGGCCAATCAGATCGTTAAACTCTAACCTGCACCAACGAAGAAGCTGTGATCCACCAGCGTGACACCGACTGAGCGTGAAGTGATTTTAAATGATCACGATCTTCAGATTTCTACTAAACAAACTCTTTTAATGAGCGTTAGAGTCCCTTTGTGTCTCAGACCAGTGAAGACAGACCACCTCACCAGGTGACTCGCCTCACACCAGCGGCGTCCTGTGAACACGTGAGGGACCTGCGGGCGCAGGAAGTCCTGATGCTTCACTCAGGATGTCCCGCCCTCACAGCAGCGTCACGCCGTGACCTCAGACGTGTCGTTCACTACAGGCAGTACAGCACAAAGTTAGACCCGGTCTGGCGGGACCTCCATGTGAAGCGGGGCCGCTGCAGTCGTCTCCCAGGACACTTCCTGTCCTTAGATATTAGATTCACCGCCGACCGCCGCTCCTCGCTGGCAGACGCGCGTCACGGTTTCGTCTTCAGCGATCAAACCAGCAAAGTAAACCCAGCAGACGGGGCGGTCAGACCGGACTCAGCCGGCCTGCCGTCTCCGCCAGCTTGATGTGGATCACATGCGGGAAGTGATTCAGGTGACCCCCGTTAGAGCCTCAAACCTGGACCCGAGCCGGACCAGCTTTGTTTTCAGTGGTTCTGTTGTTCATTGAGCATTTTGTTTGTTAAATTCAGCCTCTCTAATCAACACTCGACTCCACGGCAGCAAAGAGCGGAGCCGGGGCCGCCGGGCCCCCCGGGGCCCCCGGGCTCTAATGCTGCGTTCAAGGCAACTCTGAACTGGGAAATTTCCAACTAGAAAAACTCTCCTGGAACGCCGCCTGAAGTCGGATTTCCTACTCGTGAACTCGGAGTTCACGAGTAGCGGCTGAATGACGTCACAAAACAATGGCGGCGCCCGTGGAAGCCCACGCTGTAAAGCATCAAGTAAAAGGCAACAAAAAGTATATTTGCATGTATCTAAATTAAAATAATAAACGGTCATGTAGTAAAACCTGCCGGCTACAGGAAGGAACCTCAAAGTCTTCTTCTCTGCATAAAAGTTATTGTTTAAAATGCCAGAACATCAGGAAGTGTGACCACTGACTGACTTGAGCGTCACCGACTGACGTGGCGAGACGGGTCCACAGGTAACTTGTGACGTGGAGGCTGTGCTCTGAGCTCTGCTGAGGGCGCAGCTGTGTGCACACTTTGTGACGGCCGTCGTTTTCGTTCACTTTCGGCGTCACGCACCATCAAGCACCTGGAACGCTTTAACGCCGCGCTTCCTGTTGGTGTGTGCTGAAGCTGCTGTTCTGTGTTTCAGTTTAAGGAGTTTCTGGGGACGTACAACAAGGTGACGGAGAACTGCTTCATGGACTGCGTCAGAGACTTCACGACCCGGGACGTGAAGCCGGAGGAGGTAAGCAAACGCTTCCTGTTCAACAGCTCTGAGACCCGTCAGTAAAAAGAGTCCCCTGGACCCACAATCTGAGCGGCCCCACCGTTGGTTCCTCTTTAGCTCGGTCTGAACGTGACGCCGTGATTGGCTGTCGGGGAGGAATGATGATGCAGAGAGGTTTCGCTTAATGAGCTGATGTCATGTGATGTCACATCTTCTCTTGGCTGTCTGACCAATCCCCCGCCGGTTCTGGCTCAGCGGTCTCTGTTTACGTCCCGTCTGTAACGATCGGTTCTTCTGTTTCAGTCCAGCTGCTCCGAGTCGTGTCTGCAGAAGTACCTGAAGATGACCCAGCGGATCTCCATGCGGTTCCAGGAGTACCACATCCAGCAGAACGAGGCTCTGGCTGCTAAAGCCGGACTGCTGGGGCAGCCTCGCTGAACCGGTCCGGTCCAGCGGCACCGTGTCGGGCGAATAGAGACTGAAGCTGCTGGCGTTTCGTTTCCCCTGAGCTGGGAGATCTAGTTTTGTGTGTTACGTTGTGATGAAATCTTTATTATTAAACTCCATGAACCCGTTTTCTTTGTTCCTCCTTTCTAAAAATAACTTATCACAAAGTTTAAAGTGCAGCAGAAGTTCAGTCACCAGCCGGCGTCTTCATTATAAATAGTGGACTCGCCCGCCTTTATTAGGGACGCCGAAGCTAACGGTGACAAGTTTAAACATTTAACTGTTCATCTGGAGCTGCTCGCTCAGGAGACGTCTGAAACACCGAGCTGTGACACCGGTTCGTTACTGGCGCTAAAAGTCGACTTCATGTCTGTATGTTAAACATGGTGCTAGCTTAGCATGAGGCCTGGAAGCAGCTAGCCTGACTCTGAAGCTGATCAACACGTTTCATCTGTTTCAAACTCAACTTTTATGGAGTATTTTGTGACCGAACAGTTATTTCCCGAGTCTCCACGGTTTCCTTTGGCCGTTTCCGGCCCTTATGCTAAGCTAACTAGCTGCTACATGTAGCTTCCTATTTAGCATACAGACATAAGTCTGAACACGAGTCTCAGGATTTCACTGAATGTTGGACTTTACAGGATGATGGGGAGCACCTGAACGCACCGTTGCTGCTGGCCGGTCTGTGTGGCGGGGGGGGGACAGGACTCAGGGAAACATATTTAAAAACTTTATTAGAAACAGAGAGCTGTTTATTGTCCACACAGTTCCAACATGGCTTCTGTTCTCAGGAAGTGTGTTTCTGTATTTACAGTCGTCGCTCTCTAACCGCCGCTAGCAAAACACCACATAGAAAAACAACAAGCGAGGAGTTCATAATACAACGGTACAAACATGTCCTCTTAAAAATATTATAAATCATTCTTTACAGGCGTGTAAAATGTAGTTTTCAAATACATGGTGTGGTTTTATTCTTTTCTTTACTCAGAACGTTTATGTACAAAACAAGGAAATGTTCAGGAGCCGAAAACCAGCCGTCTGTCGCAGCCGCACAGAGAGGAAACCACAGAAGAAGAGTCAGGGAGGTCCTCCAGGAGGGAGGCCGGTACTGAACACATGGAAGATCAAATCAGCCAGAGAAGAAGAAACCAGTCAGAAACTCAGAAGCTGAACGTCAGACTTCATGAATCAAAATTCACTTTCAGTTGATTTCAAACTTGCTTCTGAAGATAAAAAGGCGACTCAGTAAATCTCATCTTTAAGACTCGTTCATCAGATTAACTGCTGCACCAAACAAGCTAATAAATCAGATATTAGGTATAAGTTTATTTTCTAATAAGGTAAAATGTCCATTTCAACAACTGAAGCTTCTAATTTAGCAGACTTAATGAAATCATAATTTACTTTTCGCTAATTTATTTAATCAAACTGATGAATTTCTTAATGAAAATATTGAGATTGATAAATAATAAAAAAATAATCATACTGTCAACAAGTAAATGTTAGAATTTTGACATATTTAACATAAAGGCTTAAAATCATGAGATTTACTGGGAAATATTTTCACACTCATAATTTTAAAGTTTTTATTTTCATCTCTGGCACTAATGATCTTCCATACAGGCCCACAAACACACACACACACACACACACACACACACACACACACACACACACTAAAACGCCCTCTGTGTTCGCCAACTGAATAAATAAACTTCATTTTAATTATTTTACACAAAAACAAAGATTTCATCCTCTCTCCCGCTGTGACATCAGAAACATTTTGGAATTGTTTTTGTTTGTTTTTACCAAAATAAAAGCTCTGACTCCATATAAAAAGGCCACAAACTCTCACAGCAGGAAGTCCCAATTTTTTTTTTTTATCTTTTCTGTTTTCTTGAAAAAATTTGAATGAACGAAGAAGAAAACAAACTTGCATAATGAGCTGTGCTGCTTCAGGAACCCGTCTCTGTTCCACCCGACAGGAAATGACCTCTGACCATCAAAATAACCCGTCACTCTGTAATCAGCAGACGCAGGAAAGGAAGTAAGACTGTGGCGGCTGAACAGACGGCTGATTTATCGGTCCAGTTTGTTTCCTCAAACAGGAAGTCACTTCATAGGTGAGGGGGCGGGGCTAAGCTCAGGTGGTAGTGCCCCCAACTCCCATCAGCCACTGCTTCAGTCGAGTTTCTCAGACCTGGGGGGAGTTTGTTTTGCGTTTTCCCATCATGCCCTCAGGGCTGACTGAGGGGGCGGAGTCTGTGTCAAGACGGGGTGGGGCCGAGCAGAAGGAGGTGATGATGCAGGGGCCTGCGGGGCGTGTCATCACCTGCACTCCACAGCGACGGTGTTCTGAGCGGGTGAGGCCGAGGACGGACTCATACCTGTGTCCGAGGAGCCCGACGAGGTGGACGCCGTCGTGTTGGACACTGAGGGACACAGAGACACAATCAGTCAACAGGTTTACAGACAAACATGTCAAACGCCACCGACAACACGTTAAAACTGCAGTTTAACTCTGTAACTACGTCTGAGCGTACCCACATACCCGTCTGTGTACCCATGTCCCCGTCTCTGCCTCCCCGCGTCTCTGCCTACCAGCCTGCGTCCCCTGCCTACCTGCCTGCGTCCCCGCCTCTGCCTACCGCGTCTCTGCGTCCCTCAGCTAAATGTACTTTGTCATGAATGTTTGAGTTAAAGTCACCAAAGCAGTGAAGTTTCCATTTTGAACAGAACTAATGCCGTCATGTTCGCTCTGATATTCTGCATGAGTTCCCAGCATGCACGGCGTCTCCTACCTTCTCTCTCCTTCTTTTTTAGTCTCTTCCTGCGTCTGTCGATGGACGCCACCTCCGACTTCAGGGTCATGTAGTACTTCCTGATCTCCTGCAGCTTCTCCTGCAGGAAGGAGATCCTCTCTGTGCTCGACATGCTGTCCAGCTCACCTGAGGGGGGAGGGGCAGAGGCGGGTTATTACTCATCACAGGTAACAGGACACCTGTCTCTGAGCCACAGACAGGAAGTTAACGTGAAGCTGCTCACCGAGCTGGAAGGTCCACTTGTACGTCCTCTGAGGGGACAAGTGGTGTTTGTCTTTACTGTGAGAGGACGGAGACGGCAGGCCGGGACAGCGAGGCTTCTGGGACGTCAGGCGGGACTGGTCCTCACTGTCACTGCTGTGGCCTGGGGGGGGGGTGTTGAAAAGGTGCATTGTGAAATGAATTGGATTTATCACAAAGGTGCGAAGTTCTACGATGCGATTATAAAACAAACTGATCCAGATGTGTTTTTCTCACCGTTTGACTACTTGCTGCTTTTAAAGTATTTAACAACAATCCAAAGTAGTAGGTAGTAATGAAAAGCAGATATTTAATGTTACTTCATGTAACTGTAGCTAACATTGTGTAGCAGTATTACAGCGTCTCGTCTGGTGTAGCGACAGTTTGTGTCCTGTAAGTTGATTATTGTGATCTTGTTGAGCACCGTGGCTCTGCAGAAACAGCATTTGGTTCACTGTGTTCTCAATATGTGGATGAATGACAACAAAAGCCAAAAAGCCAGTTGGAAAACGACAGACTTAAATTATCGGACATGCTGCGACCTGCACTGCACATTTACGGCCAGACTGAAGCGTAGCGCTCGTCTTTTCCTCCGCTCTGCTGCTTTCGCCAACTGCCGCCTGTCACGTAGCTTTGAAGAAGGTGGAGAGGACGCCGGCCGAGCGATGCCGTGCTGCACCGTGTGCGGGTTAAAATCATTAACTTTAGCTGTACATTGATTTTACTCATGTGAAAGTTCACTCATTCAGCCCCATTTCCACCTTTTTCATTCCATCAACATAACGTTGTCAATTAACCTGTAGAGATAATCGATTATTGACATTTGTGAATTGATTGAAAATCATCTAATGTTATTTGTTGTTGGTCAACCTCCCGCCACCAGGGGGAGCCACTGACGCTGGTGCAACAGGACACAGGAGCAAACTGTGACCGTGTGAATCAAAGTTTTTGTTCTGTAACTGTAAGAAATCGAGTTGTTAATATGCCTGTTGACTCCGCCCATCACCTGTGTGACCCGTCAGTGACCTCATCATCGCGCACACAGTCAGCTCACCTGCTCCGTTCTTCTCCACCTTCCCAGGTGTGTGTGTTCGTTTCTGGTTGCGTTTCTGTTTCTTGGCGGTCGGGCTCGAGTTGCAGTCCATCCCCCTCTTCTGGCCTGAGGAGTCAAAGGTCACACAGGTTACTCACTGATCTCCGGGGGCAACACGTAGTTTATCAGAACATTTAGCCGACGCTCCAGGACGCCTCCGGTCTTACCTCGGTCCTTGGTCTCCTGCAGGGACAGCAGGGAGGTGGAGGAGGTGCTGCCATCAAACCCGGGGCTGGAGTCTCCCTCGTGCTCCCCCCTCGCTGCCCCCCCCTCCTCCTCGGCAGCGCTCCTGGCTGGGTGGAGCGCCTCGGAGCAAGGGGCGGAGCTGGGAGCGGCGGCCGTCAGGAAGGGCCTGACCTGAGGCTGGGGTAGGTGGGGGGAGGCACGGAGGAGGTTAGGCGGGGCTGGCTGCGACTCGCTCATCATCAGGAGGAGGTGTTCTGGGGCGTGGCTGGTCTTCTCCTTCTCATCCGGGTCGTCCAGGTCCACCTCGTGACAGACCAGCGCCTCAGGTCCAATCTGGGGCTCCAGCTCCTCAGAGGGGGCGGGGCCCAGGGCCTCCGCAGCGGGGGGAGGCGCCCCGGCATGCACACCTAGCTCCTTCGTGGCACCGCCTGTCAGACGCTGCTCTGACACCTCCCTCGGCGTCTCCTCCGCTGGGCGGGGCCACTCCTCTGCCTTCATCACTCCCTCACTACTCCTCTCTGACTCCCCCCTGCTGGGAGGGGAGGGGAGGGGTTTAACGATCTTAGGCAGGGCAGCGGTGGTTTTGGGGGAGGCGGCCTCCTCCTGCCTCCTGTCGGGGCGGAGCTTCTTCTCTGCTGCTTGCTGCTCGGCTGCCTTGCGTTTCAAAGTGCTCCTCCCCTCAGGTACGCCCTCCTCCACCTCCTCCTCCTCGGTGGCGGAGTCCGTGTCAGAATCAGCGGTGGAAGACTCAGGAGGGAGGCGCTGGGTGGGAAGGCAGTGGAGGACC